TTTTTTTAGTATGCAAACACAGTGTACGTATCACGGAGTCACGCGAGGTCGCGTGGTAATTTCCCACGAGCGCTGCCGCCGAGGGATTCGTACGTAATTATGTATGTATGCATGTATATACATAATAATTCGTGGTGAGTCGTTGTTGTACTGTACGCGAAGAGAAAGAAAGGGAAAGAACTGTGTATGTAACGATATCCAAGAGAACGTCGCTTCGCGTGGTACCGAAAGGGAGACCCGACGAGGAGCCCCGTTCGGTTATCCACGCTCGATCTTTCCTCGTTTTCTTCCGTACTCGAATAGTAGTGAAAATGGATGGTCGAAGAAATGGAAGAACGACGAGAAAGAAAAATATGACGAATCGAGGCAATAGGAGCGTCGAGCTTACCCGTGGGAAGGTGAAACCTGAGCCTCGCGCGGACGCGCCATTTTGCTGAACGATTTCGACGCGGTTTTTGGCTACGGGGGTCGAAATCGCGTGGCGATCGCAACGGCGTTCGCGGGTAGCTCGAACGAATGGAAGGGCCGAGGAGGAAAGGAGAATAGATCGGGAAGAAAAGGAAGAAGACGGATACCAAAGTCGAAGATATCGGGCTTCAGGATAGACGTCAAAAGTGTCGTACGCATTTCGCTCCGGTTCGGTGATGCTCCGATTCCCGATGTTCTCTCGCGATGCACGGGGTAACGTCGGATACGTAAACACGAATCCTGACTTTACTCTGGTTTTAGTCGATGCCACTGTACGATCGTTTGCCGCGGCTTCGTGATCATGTCTTGCCAGTGTTTCGTTTCGCTCGCCCCGCTCCCGTTCTTCCCTGAAATTCGTACCATTTATTAACACTAGAAAGACTGAAACTTAGTATATATCTATATTGCCCAAAACCAGACAAAATGACTGCATTGTGAAAGAATAATGTGTAAAGAAATTTGTCTAAAATTAATTTTTAATATTTTTTATATTATTTACAGTCATATAACAAGTTATTAGTAAATGTTAACAATAAAAAAAAATTTACTTCACTTGGGAAAAAAAATAATTTATGCATTATTATTTGTACATTTGCCCAAAAGCAGTCAAAATTACTTCCTTGGGCAATCTAGTGTTAATCACTACAATGT